ACCAGTTTGAGATGATTTGAGCTTTGACATGGTGCATTGTCCTGCTGGAAGGAGCCATCAAAAGATGGGGATACTGTAGTCAAAGGGATGGACATGGTCAGCAACAATACTCTGGTAGGCCTTGGCATTTAAACGATGCTCAATTGATACTAAGGGGTCCAAAGTGTGCTAAGAAAATATCCTCCACACCATTACGCCACCAGCCTGTACTGTTGATACAAGGCAGGATGGATCCATGCTTTCATGTTGTTTATGCCAAATTCTGACCCTACCATCTGAATGTCGCAGCTGAAAATTGAGACTCCTCAGACCAGTCAATGTTTTTCCAATCTTCTATCGTCCAATTTTGGTAAGTCTGTGAGAACTGTAACCTCCGTTTCCTGTTCTTAGCTGACAGGAATGGCACCCAGTGTGGTCTTCTACTGCTATAGCCCATCTGCTTCAAGGTTCGATGTGTTTTGTGTTCAGAGATGGTATTCTGCATACCTTGGTTGATAACAATGGCCCCAACAGTGCTCACTGGAACATTCAGAAGTTTTAGAAAATAATTCTGTAACCAATGCCATCCGTATGTTGTGCAACAATAAGGTTGCAAAGGTCTTGAGAGAGCTCTTTGCTTTTACCCATCATGACATATTTCTTGTGTGATACGTTGGTAATGAGACACCTTTTTATAAGCCATCAGTTGAGACTGAACCAGCTGATATTAATTTGCACTGACAAGGGGCAGGATTGCTTTTTAATTACTGATAGATTTCAGCTGGTGTCTTGGATTTCCATGCCTTTTTTGCATCTCCCTTTCTTTGAGTTCAATACTTTTTTTTTCCCCTGTATCATTCCATTTTTTTTTTTAATTACACATAAGTTCAGAAATTAAAGTGGAGTTCCACCTGAAAAAAAAAAATAATGGAAGTCAGCAGCTACAAAAAAGTGTGTAATTTTTTTTTTTTTTTTTTGGTTCACCCCTCGTTAACATGTTAATGACATTTTTACATTTAAAACCACCAAGCTACTTATTTACTCCTTTACTCCCTTATCTCTTGCCTTCACTATTGGAACTCCCTTCTCATAGGCCTACTCTCTGTAGGCTATCCCCTCTTCAGTCTATCATGAATGCTGCTGGCAGACTTCTACATCTTGCCAAATGCTCAGTGTCCACTGCCCCTCTCTCTGCAATCCCTCCACTGGCTTCCGATTGCTCAGCGAATTAAATTCAAAATACTAACAACAATATACAAAACTATTCACAACTCTGCCCCGAGCTACATCACCAATCTTGTCTCCAAATGTCACCCAAACCATATTCTCTGCTTCTCTCATGACCTCCAGCTCTCATCCTTCCTGGTCTCCTCCTCCCATGCTTGTCTCCAGGACTTCGCCAGAGCCTCTCCTCTCCCATCCTCTGGAACTCTATACCTCAATCTGTCCAGCTTTCCTAAAGCCTGGGTTTACATAAGTGCGGCTCCGTATATCACATGTGATTTGCACAGGAACCGTACTGCATTCCTGTGCAAATCACATGCGATTTGTGTGCGGTGCAATCAGAGCCATACCTTTTTTTTGTATGGCTCTATTCGCACCGCAACCACACCAAAAACATGCAGGACCCTTTTTTGGGTCTGTACTAGAATCGGATCGCATAGGTATTCACACCCCCATGTGAGCCGATTCTTCACATCGCGGGGTTATGCAGACCACTTTCGGGGGGTTGTTTAGTTAACATACACACCGGCAGCGGTTTGCATGAACGTGGTGCGATTCTGATGCAGTGCGGAATTCGAAATGAAAACACTGCAAATTTGGCACCGCATCAGTGTGAACCAGGGCTTACTCTGGCAGCCTTTAGGCGATCCCTGAAAACGCATCTCGCCTATCACTCCTTCAGTCAAACATTTTATCACTTCCATCAGCTCATCCCCCATTGTTTATAACCTTTTGTACCACTTGCCCCACCCTATTAGATGGTAAGCTCTAGGGCCTTCTTAATCCTCTTGTTTATTGTAACTGTACTGTCTCCCTTTTATATTGTAAAGCACTGCGCAAACTGTTTGCGCTATATAAATCCTGTATAATAATAATATAACCTATTTTCTATTTTCCTTACATTCATTACTTAATTTAGAACCAATGACCTCATCACTCTCTGTGCTTCTCTATGAAATGCAGGCAGATCATGACTTCTGGGAGGAGCTGGCAGGGAGCTGTACATAGTTCTCTGAAAACATCACAGCACCCTGCCTCAGTACTCCTTTCAAGAGCCCAGATAAAAGCAGTGGGTTGCTCTTGGGAGGAGTTATGTAAATATCAAAATGCCTTGATGGGTGGATGTCAGTCTGGAGGAGTGGGCAGTTCTAATTAACCCCTTCATGCCGGCCGCGCACAAATATGTGGCCTTCCGGCGTCTGGGCCTAAACGCTGAGCGGCCGCACATTTGTGTGCAATTAAAAAAAACATATGTGCTGAGAGCGTGCGCCCTGCCCGCTCCCAGCACACATGTCCAGTACTCGCAGAAAGGTCCCGATCTTTTTGGATTGGGACCTTTCCCGATCATGTGACCGCCGTGACGGTGAATCACAGCGGTCACATGACCCTAAAACCCCACCCCGCTTCCCGGCTTCTGAAACTCTTAAAGGGCCGGAAGGCACGGGCGCCAAGGGGTTAAACTACACCTGCATGCAGACTTCCCTAGGTAGTGTCCTCATGTGACACTGAACCTCCATGACTAACAGAACTGAAATCCAGTGAATGAAAGGAATGGGCCAGGGACAGTCGGGCTGTGGAGGAAAAGGCTGAAAGATGTTGGGAGTTCCCCCAGCCAGTTGCATGTTGTGGGAAGCTCACAGTGTGCAGTAAATTCAGAATAGGCAATTTTGGTACAAGTGAGGAACTGGTACAACTGTGCAAGACTGAATGGAAGGCTGGAGTTCAGCTTCAAGCATAGAATGTAGATTACGTGTGCCTTGTGCTGAGGAACGTTAATCTACAGATTACATGCAGTAAGCATGATGAGATTAATGATCATTGTAGCTAAGCTGTGTGCTGCAGGACCAGGCTGCTACTAGCTGTGTCTTGTGCTGTAGAAGAGATTCGGGAGCGCTCTGTGTGGTTTCTTCATCATCATGCGGTTATTACGATTGGCCAATCTTCCTGGGTAGACGTGAGCTACCTTATCAAACCATCCCTGTTGTCAGTTACATTTTGTGAGATTTATTAGGCAGAATGTTTGTATTTATAAGTTGAAACTGGAGTGAAGGTTCACATTGTGTGTCTATGGTCAATATCTCTAAAAGCATATATTGATTTCCACATTGTATTCCAATTGTTTCTAGCCTACTCCTATTAACCGCTTGCCCACCGCCCTATAGCAGAAATACTGCTGCAGGGCTGCGCAAAATCACGTGTACATACACACTGCAATTGGTGACTTCAGCTGTCGATCACCAGGTCCCAGCCAGTGATTCTCCACTGGCACCCAGTGATCGCTGAGTATCACTGACAGGGGAGAGGTCTGTATGTAAACAATACAGACCGGCAGGCGACCCGAGTATCACTGATGGGGGAGAGGTCTGTATGTAAACAATACAGACCGGCACCCAGCGATCACCGAGTATCACTGACGGGGGAGAGGTCTGTATGTAAACAATACAGACCAGCACCCGGCGATCACCGAGTATCACTGACGGGGGGAGAGGTCTGTATGTAAACAATACAGACCGGCACCCGGCGATCACTGACGGGGGGGGGAGAGGTCTGTATGTAAACAATACAGATCTCTCCCCTGTCAGCTACTGCACACTGCTTTGTATTGCTCTGCATAGCAGAGCAATACAAAGCAATGTGCTGACACTGTAAAACACACACAGTAAAACAGCACACAGTTAACCCTTTGATGGCCCCAGATGTTAACTCCTTCCTGCCCAGTGTCATTAGTACAGTGTCAGTCCTTTTTTATTAGCACTGATCACTGTATTAGTGTCACTGGGGATGTCAGTGACAGTCAGTTCCCCTCCAGTGTCAGAATGCCCGATGCAGTCCCGCTATAAGTTGCTGATCGCCACCATTACTAGTGTAAAAAAAAAAAATTCCAGTATCTATACTGCCATTTGTAGACGCTATAACTTTCACGTAAACCAATAAATATAAATGTGTTGGGATTATTTCCTAGCAAAGATATGCAGCAGAATACATTTTGGCCTACATTTGACAAAATTTGATTTCTAAATTTTTGTACTGGACATGTTGAATAGCAAAAGGTCAAAAATTGTTTGTTTTTTTTTCTCAAAATTGCCGGTCTTTTTTTGTTTATAGCGCAAAAAATTAAAAACGCAGTCGATCAAATACCATCAAAAGAAAGCTCCATTTGTAGGGGAAAAAAAGACATACATTTAATTTTGGTGCAGTGTTGCATGACCGCGCAATTATCAGTTAAAGTAACGCAGCACCGTATCGCAAACAAAGTCCTGGTCAGGAAGGGGAGTAAATCCTCCGGAGGGCAAGTGGTTAATGTGAATAATCTTGACGATTGTAAACTTACTTTGGAAGATCCTACACATTTACTTCCTTGAATTCTGTGGCACGTAGTCACTATGTCCTGTGAGTAGGCACTGCTGTGTCACACAGTTCAAAGAGCCTGCCTTCTGAGCTACAAAGGTATCAAGAGGAGAAGTTTCAGGAGGTGGAGTCAGTACAGGAAACACGGCTTGCAGGCAGCAAGGTACCATGGGATATGTAGTCCTTAGAAATTGAGAAGCTGCAAAGCATGCTGGGAATCCAGAAAGTTGTGGAAAGAAACAACCAGCAGATAGGCAGCACTCACAACATGAAAGGAGAGTTTTCAAGTAAGCCTGTATTGGATAGTCAAAAATAAATATAGTTTGTTTTGTTGTTACAATGCTGATGTTATAAAATGAAGCCTGACATGACAGTAATATGAATTTTGTTTTGGCTTTTACAGCGTAACGTCTGACACTAATGTTAATAAATTCTATTTTTCATTCTAGAAAGCTAAGGTTAATACGGGCAGATGAGTTTCTCCAGACGTTTGCTTCTGACCGTAGCCATATGAAAGATGCAGATAATAAGTGGAAGAAGCCTCCACCTCCTTATCCTTGTATCCGTACTGCAGGTCAGTTCTCATCTAGAAGTCTGCTGTATAGCTGATAAGCATGAATCATTTTATTCCTTGTTTAGGGAAATCACGAATCCATCGTCCAGGACATGACACTTTAACCACTAGCCTACAGGGCACTTATACCCCCTTCCTGCCCAGGCCAATTTCCAGCTTTCAGCGCTGTCACACTTTGAATGACAATTGCACGATCATGCAACTCTGTACCCATATGAAATTTTTATCATTTTTTTGTGACAGAGCTTCCTTTTGGTGGTATTTAATCACCTCGGCGATTTTTATTTTTTCTTAAACCAAAAACCACTGAGAAGTTTGAAAAAAAAAATGTTTTTTCTTAGTTTTTGTTATACAATTTTGTAAATAAGTGATTTTTCTCCTTCACTGATGTGCACTAATGAGGCTGCAGTGATGGGCACTGATAGGTGGCACTGATGGGCACTGATGAGAAGGCACTGGTAGGTTGCACTGATGGGCATTGACAGGCATCACTGATGGGCACTGAACGACAACACTGATACATGACACTGATATATGGCACTGACTGGCACTGTTAGGTGGCACTGACTGGCACTGATGGGTGACATTGAAAGGCAGCTCAGATGGGCACTGATATGTGGCATTGATGTGCACTGGTATGCTCTGATATGTGGCATTGATTGGGCACTGGCACATGGCACTGATGGGCACTGGCACTGATGAGCACTGACAGGTGGCACTTCTGGGGGCACACTGATGATCAGTGCCCTGATGATCAGTGTACATGTCCCCTCCGCGGAAAGCCGATTACCGGCTCTCCTCTTCTCTTGAGCTGTCAGCGTGACAGCTCGAGAGGAGAGAAATGCCGATACCCAGCATTTCCGTGTTTACATGTGATCAGATGTGATTGGACACAGCTGATCACATGACCGAGCCGACATCTTCAGCTCTTTCTGTGAACCCCGAGGGACACAGCGCATCGCCGCGCTGCGCTCTCCCTGAGCCGCGCATGCGCATGAGAATGGTAGGACGTCATATGACGTCCTATCAGAACGAGAGAACCACTGTGCGCCCGTCATTGTACTATAGGGTGGGCGAAAGGTGGTTAAACTATGTTGTGTCTGTATCAACAGCCTCTACTACAGTGGTGGTCAACTCAATTAATATAGGGGGCCCAAAGTGCAACCCTAGACATCACCAAAGGGTAATATTCAGTAATCTATAATGCTGCAGAACGCTGTCAGACTACCGACATGCTATAGGAGTTGTTGATTACTGGGGACATGCGTTAGGAGACAGTCATAGACTAGTAGTGCATGACATCAGATTGCTGGATCTTTTACAGCCCTTTTTGAAAATCAGAGCTTCCCCATTTGTATTCCACTCAGCCCCCTTAAATTACTTGTCACAATGTTTACTGTTGTCTATAATGTATACTTTTATGTACAAGATCCATTCAAAAAACACATCTTGTGTTGGTGCTGCCATCAAAGCGTTGGGATACTCTTACACGTATTTTGGGATTACCCCATTCTCAAGCCATTTTAGGATGAAGTCCTTTCCATTATGTTTAAAGGTGTTTTACCTTCATGCTTTCTATGCTTGAAGGTAAAAAAATGTTCTCTGTGCAGCATCCCCCCTAATACTTTCCTAAGCCCCCTCTCGGTCCAGCGATGTGCATTGGATTCTCAGCTATCCCGGGACTCCCTCTCCTCATCGGCTGAGACAGGCGTGGAGCCATTGGCTTCTACTGCTGTCAATCACAGCCAATGAGAAGAGAGAAGGAGCAGGGCCAAGCCAGGGTTTCGTATGTGAATGGACACACAGATCAGCGACTGGGGAGTGCACATGCTCGGGTGCCTCCATAGCAAGCTGCTTGCTGTGTGGGGCACCCGAAAGGAGGGAGGGGACAGGAGCGCAGGCGGGGGACCCGAGAAGAAAACCAATGCACACAGCAGGTAAGTATAACGTGTTTTTTCTTTTTTTTTTTTTTTTAAAATTTAAGCCTTTAGAATCACTTTAAAATAATTCCGCAATTAACATATATGCCCTTCTCCATTTGACCCCAATGCATACATCAAGATACAACCGATCTCTTCTCATACATTCGAGTAATGCGGCAATAACCTGCATACCCATAGTGTGGAAGTAGACCTCTCCACCAACTGTGGGTATGTGGATCTCCAAAGTCCAGACAATCAAACCTGTGGAGGATGTAATCATTTCCATAGTTTTGAAAAACCTGATTCTGTTAGATTGACTTTATATCTTCTTCTGATTATTCCCCAGATCTTACTAGGGCAGCACAGTGGCTAAATGGTTAGCACTTCCGCCTGGCAGTACTAGGGTCGTTGGTTCGAATCCCAGCCACGGCACCTCCTGCCTGGAGTTTGCAGGGAGAACCCCTGTGCCTGCGTGGGTTTCCTCCAGGTACTCCCGGTTTCCTCCCATACTCCAAAGACATGCTGGTAGGTTAATTGGCTCCTGTCTAAATTGGCCCTAGTATATGAATGTGAGTTAGGGACCTTAGATTGTACGCCCCTTGAGGGTTAGGGACTGATGTGAATGTACAATATGTACAGTTGTGACCAAAATTATTCAACCCCCACTGAAATTGAGTGTTTTGGCCAGTTTGACATTGCTTTTTGATCATTCAGTCATCTTGCTTACATTTACATTAAAGAGGCACTTGTAGGTCAGACAAATATAACATAACAGTTATAATGAAATAACCACAAATGTCTTTTCTGTGCTCACAGCATTATCAGTTTTATTCAACCCCCAAGTGACATTCAATCTTAGTACTTAGTACAGCATCCTTTTACAGTTATAACAGCTTTTAAACGTGAAGCATAGCTTGACACAAGTGTCTTGCAGCGATCTACGGGTATCTTCGCCCATTCTTCATGGGCAAAGGCCTCCAGTTCAGTCACATTCTTAGGCTTGCGCACTGCAACTGCTTTTCTTTAAGTCCCACCAGAGGTTCTCAATCGGATTTAAGTCTGGTGACTGCGATGGCCACTCCAAAATGTTCCAGCCTTTCCTCTGCAACCATGCTCTAGTGGACTTGGAGGTATGCTTGGGATCATTGTCCTGTTGAAAGGTCCAACGTCTCCCAAGCCTCAGGTGTGTGACGGACTGCATCACGTTTCCATCCAATATCTCCTGGTACTGAAGAGAATTCATGGTACCTTGCACACGCTGAAGCTTCCCTGTACCTGCAGAAGCAAAACAGCCCCAAAGCATGATTGACCCTCCACCATGCTTCACAGTAGGCAAGGTGTTCTTTTCATCATAGGCCTTGTTCTTCCTCCTCCAAACATAGCGTTGATCCATGGGCCCAAACAGTTCTAATTTTGTTTTCATCAGTCCACAGAACACTATCCCACAACTTTTGTGGTTTGTCCACATGGCTTTTGGCATACTGCAGTCGACTCTTCTTATTCTTTGGAGACAGCAAGGGGGTACGCCTGGGAGTTCTGGCACGGAGGCCTTCATTACGCAGTGTGCGTCTTATTGTCTGGGCTGAAACTTCTGTACCCACATCTGACAAATCTTTTCTCAGTTCCTCAGCAGTCACACGGGACTTCTCTCCACTCTACGCTTCAGGTAGCGCACAGCAGTCGAAGTCAGCATCTTCTTTCTGCCACGACCAGGTAGCGTTTCAACAGTGCCCTTTGCCTTGAATTTGCGAATGATGCTTCCTAAGGTGTCCTCTTGGTATGTTTAACATCTTTGCAATCTTCTTATAGCCATTTGCCCTTCCTGTGAAGAGAAATCACCTCTTCTCCTTGTCTTCCTGGACCATTCTCTTGCCTTCACCATGTTTATGTAACCACACCAGTAAATGTCTAGAAGGAGCTGAGTATCACAGTCATTTTAAAAGCTGCCTAATTGGTGCTTATTATGCTTGATTGCTGCTCGGTGACATCCACAGGTGTTTTCAATACCTGATAACCTCTGTTCTTCAGAGTGGTAGTCTTTAAGGGGTTGAATAATTGTGGCAATGAAGAAACCACATAAGAACCATTTACTACTGTATTACATAAACAATTGATGTCATTTTAGTTGCATTTGGGTAGTTACAACGTCCTTGTAGGATTTGATTCTGAATACAATTCCAAATGTACACTATAGTCCCTAAACCCCTTTACAGCATTGGGGGTTGAATAATTTTGGTCACAACTTAAAGCGCTGTGTAAATTGATTAAATACTATTCAGATGTTCTTCAGGGCTAACCCATTACCCATTTTTTACTCCCCCCCCCCCCCCCCCCCCCCCCCCTCCCCACTTGTCCCCCTAGGCCTGTAGGCCTAACCCCATCATTTTTTTTTTTTTTTTTTTTTTTTTTTTACTTTCTCCCTTCCCCCTTCTTGCTGACTGCAATTATCTACTTTTTGTGTGTCGGTTTCTCTCCCTTTTACTCTTTCCATTAGCCCAATCTTCTTTTACTTTCTATGAGCATGGAAGTGATGCTTGTAGACTGACGCAGATCAATAGTTAACCTTCCTCTGTCTAAACCTGGCCGTACAATAATAGATTTTCATAAAATGTTTGTATGAAAATTCATCCAAAAATTCTGATCAGTACAATTGACTTGATGAATGTTGTTTCAGAGTACATCAAAGGTTTGTTTGCAGAACTAAGCCCTCCAATCCTATTCTTCCAAGGAAGCTGCTTTAGCCTCTGTTTGATCTGCCATCATGCTGCCCATGTGATCAGTTATGACTCCAGCCATTTGACGGTTTGACAGTTTGGCTGAGAGCACAAGCAAATATGATGGTTATGGTTCCACTTTAACATTCAGTTTTGGAATGAATGGACTTTCCTGAACAAAAATCATATACACTGTTAGAAATTTGTTCAAATGTTTGAAAAAACTTCCATCCTGCTCCTTTAGAACTTTTTTTTAATCATTGCAGTCAAAAAACAAACGTGAGCTTGACCCCAGTCACCACCAGTAATTCGAACAAACGTTCCTAAAACAAAAATTTCCAAATTAAATTCTTCTGGTTTTTTTGGCCAGCTTGATGTTCAGTTCACACCTATACGTGTTTCCGGGCCACCTTTGTTCGGGCATGGCAGCCCATTCATTTGAATGGGTGGGCTAGCTTTAAAATGCATCTTTGATCAAAATGTAAAAAAACATATATATTAAATTTGCACACTGTATTTCAAATGTTTCTAGCTTACTCTTACTATATTCACTATCCCCTGTGAGTAGGCACTGCTGTGTCACATGTTTCACAGAACCTGCCTTCTGAACAGAGTTGCTGGGAGCAAGAGTTTCACTTGGTGCACTGAAATGAAAATTCTAGTGCTGAAACCGAAAATTCAGGGTGCAACTTGGCTGAAAGTTAAAACCGAGTTTAAAAATTAATTTATTTTTCAAACGCAATTTTTTTGGAAAAAAATACACTTTAATGAGCAATAAAACACAATATATAACTCAAAGTTTTAGTAAAATATGAAAGAGGATGTTAAGGCGATTAAATAGATACCCAACATGTAATGCTTTAAAATTGCGCATGTTTGTGGAATGGCATTAAACTGTGGTACTTAAAATTTTTCATGGGTGACACTTTAAAAATCTGTAAAGGTTACCAGTTTAAAGTTAGAGGATGTCTACTGCTAGAATTATTGCTCTTGCTCCGGCGTTCATGGCAATACCTTACATGTGTGGTTTGAACACTGTTTACATATGTGGCCGTCTATGTATGCGGCCACCACTACTCGCGAGCACGGGGAGGCAGGGGCACTTTAAACTTTTTTTTTTTTTTCTTCCTTACACTGTACCTTTAAAAAAAAAAAAAAAAAAAAAAATTAGCAAAGACATGTTGCAGAATACATTTTGGTCTAAATTTATGATGAAATTTGATTTTTTTTTTCAGATATTCCCTGGATCAACTTTACCTGTAAATGTTATATCCAGTTATATTCTGTGTATCTAAGAAACAATCCAGGACTTTTTTTTTTTTTTTTAAGTTCA